ATCCTAGATCATTAAAAAGGGCCACCCACCATTTATCCACGTACCAAGCCCAATAGTGCTGGACGTGAGGGGGTGTATTGGAAAAAACCCAAGTCCCACATCGACTAGAGATTAGGCAATTGAATAATATATAAGTGGAAAGCAACCCTTACCTTACAAGCCGGTTTTGTAGGGTTGAGTTAGGCTTAATCCACTATTCTAACAGCCCTTGCTTAAAACAAAACAGTAGTATAGCTTCATCCATCTCAGATTACGGATGGTAAAGTGGGTTGTGGCTCGCAAGCTAGCTTGTTAGTCCAATAAAAATTGGTGAGTCAGGCTCATCATTTTAACTCGCAAATCTCATAACTCGCCAGCCTGCTTATATTTTTTTAATTTAATTATTTTTATGTTTATTTTATTTTAATGTAAAAGATAAAAATGAAAATGTAAAAGATTATTTTTTATTTCACTTTTTTCTACTAATAAATGTTGTTTCTCTCCCATACCTTCCACACACCATCACATTCTTGTCATCAAGGAATATAAACCATTAAAACTAATATATATAGGAAATACGATTAAACACTATATATGAACCACTCTATTATTTTAAAAACCATACATAACTCCTGTAGAGAGCATCCTTATTCAGAAATACATCCATGTCGATTTTATTCGTAGAAAACCTTTCAACAACTTAATTCAAAACAATTCAAATCTCTTGTAGTAATACAAGTCAAACATATGAAACACTCTTTTTATAATTTAAAAACCACACACACATCTTCTTCTGTATAAATACAGGAGCACTTTATTCATGAACACGACGATTCAACAGAAAAGAAAAGCCCTTGATTTGTGGATAGTTGTTGTCATGATGCTATTATGATTGACTTCTTCGAGTTCCCCTGAACCTTGAAATTGTTTTAGAAACCAACAACATTAGATAATAGCTGAAAGTAAAACAATTTCAAGAATACAGGAAAATAAATATATGTCCATGAGTACAACGAGTGGAGCCCCAACTTCAATGAGTAAATGATTAACAATATTTAAACCATATTCTAGAAGGCATGAGAAAATGTGACACTGTCAACTTTTATAATTCTAGTTCTGACAATAATGACGCTCTACCAATGCTTTATCAATTTAAATTCATTATCATATCTAAACTTCTTTTTTCTCTCGATTTCTCTCAAAATAAACTTGTCATATTATCAATAATTATGTTCATATGCTTCTTTTCATAAGATCAAAATTATAAATGTAAGAAAAAAAAATTAAACTCACTAACATTCCAAGTCTTCTGCTCTTTTGCCGTACTTGAAAGAAGAAGAAAACTAGTTTTCGAAAGGGTACCATGAACCAGCGCAATGACAATAAGCTTTTCTCACCTGACAACAATTTCCTGAAGCAAATAATGAACAAAAGTTGGTGATTAGAGACAATCAAAACATATTGGGGTAAAATAAAAATTGATTTAACATTTCCAATTCATCAATTTTGTATAAAACATAAATAATGAAAAGTTATTAGTTGATGAATGTCTTTTCACTCAGTTAGTGGAAGTTGACGAGCATACATTAATTGCATGTGCATGAGAAATTGTTGATCATAGTGTACTTACATACAAGTCAAGGGAATATGTCACCAAACTAACTCAGGTTGCTTCCTCCTCAAACAATAATTTGATAGGAGAATTTGCATCATCTTCCCAAGGGAATCCATCTACTTCCTTTCCAAACAATATTTTGATAGCAAAATTTGCATCATCATCCCAGTGGAATCCATCTGTTGTCACCTTCAATTTTGTTGGCACTTTGTCACCATGATGGAAAAGTTTTTTGCCGCAGCATTTGAACGACACTTCTTTCAAGAATGGGAACTTCAAAGTGGAACTCCCCGTGTAAAAGCTTTCAAATTTTGGTAATGAGTCAAGATTCAAAACCTTTAGATTCTGAAATATCATCTCATTTTCATATTTATCTTCGCCATCTACTTTGTGAACATCTTCATCCCCCTTTTCTGTTAGGTCCAGAGTAGGCTTAATAGTTACTCACAGCGATTCCTCATCATCTCATAACATGATTGACTACTAGATTTTCTTATCTTACCATGATTTGTTTCCCAAATTAATTAGGATTGTGATTAGCTACATTGCACAGGTACAGTACCAGTACAGGGTATGGGATACAAAATATTTCAAATATCTAGGGTACAAGTATGTTATTGCATATTTAAAAAAAGGCTTAAATAATTTATTATGTTGCCTAATTAAATATTGATTGAACCATTAAAACACGACCTATAGCTCTTGTTGGTTCAGTCTTTGGTCTTGTTTTTGAAACTTTGCAGGTAAGCTATTAGTCTTGTGAATTTGACGAGTGTACAAAGCATCTATAGTTTAGATTACTTCTTTTCATTCTTTCATAAATATCATTTTGGGTGATTTAAAACAAATGAGCATAAATACATTTTATTCTTTTTATAGGTAAAATATCATTTATCTATTTAATTCATGTATGTCAATTTTTAATTAATTTATTTGTATACAAATTTAAACTAAAGCAGGTTCTTGTTCTCTTGGATTAATTAAAAACTTCTCCAAATTACTTATCTAATTCCTTTTTTTTATATATATTTTAAATTACTTATCTAGTTTTCATTTTTATATATGCCATTTTTTAAATTAATTTACTTATCTAGTTTTCATTTTTATATATGTCACTTTTTAAATTAATTTACTTATCTAGTTTTTTCTTCTTCAACCTAGTCAGATGGATGCAGTAATGGATAAATCATGAATTAATATGTCAAGGAATACAATAGAATATAAATAGAATAGAAAATGTCAAGACATTAAAAAATGTCATGATTGCTTACATACAAATGAAGGAAGAACATATTCCTATTATGTTTGATAGTGGTATAGTAGTAATGTAGCGGTAAGTGTTTTATATGTTTTTGCACTAAATTAAATTATATTAATACTTAATTGAAGTTTAATATTTTATGCATATTTTATTAATAAGGATAACATTAAATAACAATTTGTATTTTATAGGATGAAGGGAGTGGACATGACATGCCAACACCACAAGGAAGATCTTTATTAGATAGTAATAATGTTCATGGAGTTTGACATTATTATTTTTTTTTTGTTAGACATGATGAATTCATGAATTTGAACCTATATTTTTATATTTAAAAATTAATTTTGGGACAATTTACATATTTTTCTTTTAAGCATTGATCATGAATTTGATTGAGTTACTTAATATGTTGGATATGTTTTAAAATTGATGGATGTTAATGTCTTAATAATAAAAAATATGTCATGCTAGACCTATGACTAGATGTTGTCTTGATTTTTTTATAATGTTAAAAGTAACAAGAAATATACAAAACACATAAATATTATTATAATTATAGGTAAAATTTACTAAAATAAGTGATCCTAGAATTCGACAAGTAAAATTTTTAATTATAAGTTACTTGAATTAAATAATAATATAATATAGTCACTATTAATTTTTAATAATTAATATGATTAGTAATAATTTGATAAATGCCTAAAATATATAAAATATTATCTGTCAATTTATAATAAAAATGTGCTTTTACGATTAAAATTGTCAGAAAATGCGGGACAAATAAAAAATGTTTTTTGGCAATCCAAAAACGCCAGAAAATGTAGAAATAATAATAATTTTGTGGCGGTTTTAAAATTGTCAGAAACTTTGAATTGCATATCTAAAATGAATTTTGTGGCGGTTTTAAACCGCCAGAAAATGTCACATACCACAAAAAAAAATTGAATTTTCTGGCAAAATATCCAGCCAAACAGTTTTTGTGGCGG